AGTGAGGCTGTTAAAGGCTCCTCCCTAAACTAGAAACCCCAAAATTCTGCAGGAGGCAGAAACCAGATTTTAAGTGGATTCATTTTCTAGAGTGATGAGGTCCCTAGGATGTTCTTATAATATATGAATGGGGAACCAAAGGCCATCCAGGTCATCAAAATACAGTATCCATCACCCCCAGTTAACAACCCATTCATTGGGGAAATGAGAAATATAGTGCAAAATAAGTTGGACCAACATGGGCTCCCAAGTCCTTTTACCATGCCAATGCCAATATTTTCTTGCATTTCTTCCCACTGATATATATGTTTCAGAGATACAGCTTGAGTTTCCTTTATCCAAAAGACTTGGGACCAGAAGTGTTCCATATTTCAGCCTTGTGGTTTGTTGAGACATCAGCAATCTTTGGCAGCAAAGATCTTGTAAAACAGATGATTCCATAACATTTGAGCCATGGCAGTTCAAGCGATGTCAGACTGCATTTATTCTACAGTGTAAATGCACTTACAAAATCTTAAGATGTGGGATAGGCTTCATCTGGCATCATAAATATAATCAGAGATGGAATAAGGAGACTTCCATAGCACTTGTTCCTTATACAAACTCTGCCAGAGAGTACTGGTGCCTCACCAAATTCCAACAACTCCAAACTAGTTAAAGGTATGTGTGTGTGTCAAACTATTAATTCTGCATTGTCAAACTGCATTAATTCTACTGTGCAGACACAATCTTTGCCTTTTTCCTTAAGTTACTGGGTTTAGACATTATTGGAGTGCACAATCTTTTGCACCAGCTATCTTTGGAAGAATCCAAAAACCTTGTAAAACTCTGCCAAAGAGGGTTATCCCCTCACCATACTACAACTCCATAGCATTCTGTAGCATTGAGACAGGGTAGTTAAAGTCATGTCAAACTAAATTTGCTCTACAGTGTACAGGTTGTTTTCCAACTCTAACTGTGAGGGAGAGACAGATGACAAACAAAACTGAGTCGTAACTATTACTGTTTATACTCCATGTACAATTATTGCTACTATTAAATGAAAATAAAAGTTATTGTCATACTTATGTAAAGACAGTCCCCAAGGTACGAACAAGATAGATTCAGTAGGTTTGTTTTGTTTGTAAATCAAAACAGAATATTTTAAAGTGGAATTCCAATGATAAGCTTGGATAGCAAGGGGGAGGGTGAACACCCTGGTTGAGCTTATTTCTGCTGTCTATACCCCTGTTTGGAGGATTTCACCTCACTTTCTGTTGTTGTAAGAATTGGATTTTGCCAAATTTGGCTTGTTGTGAAATCAAGGATGGGTGAGAAACTGGATTACTGTGAATTTTTTGGGCTGTATAGCCATGTTCCAGAAGCATTCTCTCCTGACATTTCACCCACATCTATGACAGGCAGCCTCAAAGGTTGTTAGGTCTGTTAGAAACAAGACAAGTGATGTTTACGTATCTGTGGAATGTCCAGGGTGGAAGAATGAACTCTTGTCTGTTGGAAACAAGTGTGAATGCTGCAATTGGATTATGATTGTGGATGGCACGATTTTTAATAGTGATTGTGATGTTTTATATGTTTTTAATGTGCATTTAATTTTAAATCTTTAACTTAATGTTTTTTAACTGTTTGTTGTTCAAAGGCATTGAGTAGTTGCCATATGTAAAGCTGCCTTGAGTCCCCTCTGGGGTAGAGAAAGGGAGGATACAAATAGAGTAAAATAAATAAATAATAAAAAATTGACCATCTTGATTAGCACTGAATAGCCTCGCAGCTTCAATGCTTGGCTGCTTCCTGCCTGGGGGTGGGAAGTGATTAGCTGGAACTGATTGTTTCTTGTCTGGAATTCCCCTGTTTTGAGTGTTGTTCTTTTTTTACTTTCCTGATTTTAGATTTTTTTAAAACATTGGCAGCCACATTTCATTCATTTTCATGGTCTTTCTGTTGAAATTGTCCACATCTGGCTAACAGTATTTAAAAACTCTAAAATCAGGACAGTAAAGTAAGAACAACACTCAACAAACAGGGAAATTCCAGACAAGAAACAGTCAGGGCCAGCTAATCACCTCTCAATAAAGGATTCCCCCAGGCAGGAAGCAGCCAAGCCTTAGCCCTGCAAGGCTGTTCAATGCTAATCAAGGTGATCAATTGCAACATTCACCCTTGCCTCAAGCAGCCAAGAGTTCTTTCTCCCACCCTGGACATTCCACAGATATATAAACCTCACTTGCCTTGTTTCCAACAGACCTCACAACCTCTGAGGTTGCCTGCCATAGATGTGGGCGAAACATCAGGAGAGAATGCTTCTGGAATATGGCCATACAGCCTGGAAAATTCACTGCTTTTAGGGAAAACTACTCTAAAATATAGCAGAGCATCCAAAAATCAAACATGAGACAAAAGTTGAGCATTAGCTCATTAGCAAGCAGAGCATGAAGTGCCGTGTGATGTGGCTGTAAAGAATTCAGAGCTTAGGAGGCAAAAATCATCTAAGCAGCACCTCTCTTTGAGACACATGCAGAGAGATATTTCAGCACACACACATAATCTCCGTACTAAAGTGCAAGAAGACAGAAGTCAGAGTCAAAAAGCTTGCAATAGAAAAGTATCCATTCTAAACATACAAATCAGAATGAGAGTAGAAACAGAGAGAGAGAACAAAATACAGTAGTCTCGCTTATCCAACCTTCATTCATCCAAAGTTCTGTATTATCCAACACAGTGCCTCCCACCTCAATCCACAGCTGTTTCAATACACTGCAATATTTTGGTGCTAAATTTGTAAATACAGTAATTACTACAGAATGTTACTGTGTATTGAAGTGCTTTTTCTGTCTATTTGTTGTAAAACTTGATGTTTTCGTGCTTAATTTGTAAAACCATAATGTAATTTGACATTTAAGAGGTTTTTCCTTAATCCCTCCTTATTATCCAACACTTTCGCTTATCCAATGTTCTGCCAACTCATTTATGTTGGATAAGCAAGACTCTGCTATAGATACATTCCCAAACATCATTCAGGAGACATGGGGGAAGGGAATTCTCTACGCCTATATACTAAACTAACTGCTTCTCATTGACGACTTGAGACTTGGGCAGTGTGAGGTTGAATCCTTACAACAGCGACCCAGTGAGTCCAGCCAGGAAAGCCTTCGACAACACATGGGTGAGAAAGGTACAGTGGAAACACCTTTTCCCCATTGGAACTCTTTCAAGAGTGAACTTCACTTTGCAAAGAACAATTTCTCTCACTTCCTGTTGCCTCACCCCCATCCTTAACTATGAGACTAGGATGAGGAACAATGGCTTCAAACTACAAGAAAGAAGATTCCATCTGAACATGAGGAAGAACTTCCTGACTGAGAGCTGTTCAGCAGTGGAACTCTCTGCCCCAGAGTGTGGTGGAGGCTCCTTCTTTGGAGGCTTTTAAACAGAGGCTGGGTGGCCATCTGTCAGGGGTGCTTTGAATGCAATATTCCTGCTTCTTGGCAGGGGGTTGGACTGGATGGACCATGAGGTCTCTTCCAACTCTATGATTCTATGAATGTAGAGACCTGAATCACAAACATTTGAAGGACTTTATTCTTCCATATGAGTCTGCCCATGTTTGGCAATCTTCTGGGGAGTCCCCTTCTCCCAGTCCCATAATCCTTGGAATATGGGACAGGGACTTCTGTATCCCCCAGGCTCTGTCTCTCATTTCTCCAGATACTTCTACACTATAGAATCAATGCAGTTTGATCCCACTTTAACAGTCATGGCTCAATACAATGGATTCATGGTACCTATAGACTTACAAGGATTTAGCCTTCTTTGCCAAAGAATGTTGGTACCTCACCAAACTTCCGTTTCCTTTGTTCCCTATCACTGAGCCATGATATTTAAAGTTAAATTAATTAATCCTAATTTAGGCGCACTCTCAAAGATGTTAGACTACTACCTTTAATTTTCCCACATTCAAGTGACGACCTTTCTCATCATGTCGACACAATGTTCTGGATTTTCTATTTGTAACTTTTGTTGGACTGCCCTTTTAAAAACAGCTTATGCTTATCATTGAATCACTATTAAAAGTTTGTATTTGGTAAAAGTTTCGCCATGTGGGTTTTTGTAAGTCATCTTCGTTCCACATCACTGAGCCATGACACTTAAAGTTAAATTAATTAATCCTAAATTAATTCTAATTTAGGTGCACTCTCAGAGACATTTAGACTAGTACCCTCCATACAAGTGAACTTCCTAACTCTGAGAGCTGTTCAGCAGTGGAACTCTCTGCCCTGGAGTGTGGAGGCTCCTTCTTTGGAGGCTTTTTAAACAGAGGCTGGATGGCCATCTATCGGGAGTGTTTTGAATGCGATTTTCCTGTTTCCTAGCAAGGTGTTGGACTGGATGGCCCATGAGGTCTCTTCTGTTGTAAGTCATCTTCGTTCCACATCACTGAGCCAATGCACTTAAAGTTAAATTAATTAATCCTAAATTAATTCTAGTTTAGGTTCACTCTCAGAGACATTTAGACTACTACCCTCCACTTCCCGTTATACAAGTGAACTTCCTAACTCTGAGAGCTGTTCAGCAGTGGAACTCTCTGCCCCGGAGTGTGGAGGCTCCTTCTTTGGAAGCTTTTAAACAGAGGCTGGAGCCATCTGTCAGGGGTGCTTTGAATGCAATTTTCCTGCTTCGCAGCAAGGGGTTGGACTGGATGGCCCATGAGGTCTCTTCCAACTCTAGGATTCTATGATTTATAAGTCAGTATATGAATTAATGTATTTATTTAATAGAACTGAGCAGGCATGGGCCAACTTGGGCACTCCAGAGGTTTTGGACTTCAATTCCCACCATCCCTCACGGCCTCAGGCCCTTTCCTTTTCCCCCTCAGCCGCTTAAGCGGCTGAGGGGGAAAAGGAAGGGGCCTGAGGCCGTGAGGGATGGTGGGAGTTGAAGTCCAAAACCCCTGGAGGGCCCAAGTTGGCCCATGTGCCTAAGTCTTGACTCTTGGTGAGCACCTGGTTGCCGAAGACAGCGAAGGCGCATGCGCTGGAGACTTCCCGGGGCCCGAACCAGACGGAGGCGAGTCGCGAGGGCATGCCGAGGATGAAGACCTGGGCGAGGGAGCAGACCACCTGGCCGAGGACGGTGACGGGGAAGAGGTGGGGGCGGGCGCTGCCGGTCTTGACCCAGGCGCCCAGGCAGTTGAGGGCGGCGCCGGCCAGGGCGATGAGGCGCAGGCCCTTCTTGTCCAGCAGCCAGGTCACGGGGAAGAGCAGCGGGATGTAGACCACCATGTAGCACATGGAGAGCCAGTCGATGGCGAAGGCGCTCACGCCGAAGAACTTGCTCACGATGGAGTTGATGCTCCCGTACTGGATCCACTGGAAGGAGTTGCAGAAGGAGTACGAGCTGAAGAGCAGCACGATCAGCCAGCGCCGACGGCAGAGCCGCACCTCGGGAGCGGAGGGAGGAGAAGGAGAGCCCGGCAGGGCCCCGTTGGGCGTCCCGGCGCCTCCCTCCGGCTCCGGCTTGGCGCCCCGGAGCAGCTCGGGGTCCTCGCTCTCCCCGTTCGCCATGGCCGCAGGAGGAGGGCTCCCACGCGCGTCCGCTCTCCCAGCACCAGCTCCGATCGCCACCGGCCTCGACGGCGAAGTCCTCTCCCGCTCCGCATTCCTCCCCTCTTTTTAAGTCCACTCACTGACTCGGCCTTCCGAGCTTTTTTTTTTTTTCTTGTCCCTCCCCCCCCCCCCCCCCACGCGCGTGGCTGTTTCTTCCTCCCCAGCATGTGACGTCAAGCCCCGCCCACCCGCTAGAGACACGTCGCCCACCCTCTCGCTTTCGGATTAGCTACCTGGTGTCCCCTTCCCGCCGGGCAGGGATTGGCTGGCTAAGGCCCCGCCCCTTTATTAATATGGAAATTTCAGAGGCCTCCCCGCCAACCCGACGCGCCGAAAAGTCAGCCCCGCCCCCCTCATTAATATGGAAATTTGAGCGGCCTCTCCGCCAACCCGACGCGCGGAAAAGCCAGGCCCCGCCCCTTCATTAATATGGAAATTGTATTGTCGAATCACTGGGCTGTTGTAGGTTTTTTCGCGCTATATGGCCATGTTCTAGAGGCATTCTCTCCTGACGTTTCGCCTGCATCTATGGCAAGCATCAGATGCTTGTCATAGATGAAGGCGAAACGTCAGGAGAGAATGCCTCTAGAACAGTGTTTCTCAACCTTCCTAACGCCACGACCCCTTAATACAGCGTCTCATGTTGTGGTGACCCCCAATCATAAAATAATTATTGTTGCTACTTCCTAACGGTAATTGTGTTACTGTTATGAATCATAATAAAAATATCTGAAATGCAAGATGAATTTTCATTCACTAGACCAAATTTGGCACAAATAACCAGTAACAGAGCTCCATGCAGACATGTTGGCCTTGGAAGTGTCTATGGACAACACCAGCTCTTCGGCCTAGAAATTGAGCACCAATCCTCAGTCTTGGACATGACTGGACTTAATGTCAAGGGAAAACTTTTACCTTACCTTACCCAATATGCCAAATTTCAATACTGGTGAGGTTGGAGGGAGAATTGATTTTGTCTTTTGGGAGTTGTAGTTACTGGGATTTATAGTTCACCTACAATCAAAGAGAATTCTGAACCCCACCAATGATAGAATTGAACAAAATTTGGCGCACAGAACTCCTATGACCATGCGAAAATACTGGAAATGTTTGGTAGGCATTGACCTTGAGTTTTGGAGTTGTAGTTCATCTGCATCCAGAGAGCACTGTGGACTCAAACAATGATAGAGCTGGATCAAACTTGGCACGGATACTCAATATGCCCAAATGTGAACACTGATGGAATTTGGGGAAATAGACCTTGACATTTGGGAGTTGGTAGTTGCTGGGAGTTATAGTTCACTTACAATGAAAGAGCATTCTGAATTTTGTCAACGATAGAATTCGGCCAAACTTCCTACATAGTACCCCCATGACCAACAGAAAATATTGTGTTTTTTATGGTCTTTGGTGACCCCTCTGACACCCCCTCGCGACCCCCTCAGGGGTCCCAACCCCCAGGTTGAGAAACACTGCTCTAGAACATGGCCATATAGCCTGGAAAAACCTACAACAGCCCAATATGGAAATTTGAGTGGCCTCCCCGGCTCGCAGAAAAGTCAGGCCCTGCCCCTCCCGCTTAACCTGTGAGAAAGTGGAAGAAGAAGAAGGAGAAGAAGAAGACGACGACTCTGGCACAAGACAGTAAAGGTGGTTCCAGTGATGATGAACACACTGGGTGCAGTGCTTAAAGACCTTGGCCTGCACTTAAATGCATCCCGAGCTCTGAAGATCACCTGGGAAGGAATCCCACTGGAGCATTGCAGTGCACCCAAATACCTGGGAGTCACTCTGGACCGTTCTCTGACCTACAAGACGCACTGCCTGAACATCAAACAAAAAGTGGGTGCTAGAAACAATACGACGGGCACAACCTGGGGATCACAACCAGATACAGTGAAGACATCTGCCCTTGCGCTGTGCTACTCTGCTGCTGAGTATGCATGCCCAGTGTGGAACACATCTCACCACACTAAAACAGTGGATGTGGCTCTTAATGAGACATGCCGCATTATCACGGGGTGTCTGCGCCCTACACCACTGGAGAAATTACACTGTCTAGCCGGTATTGCACCACCTGACATCCGCCGGGAAGTAGCAGCCAATAGTGAAAGGACCAAGGCAGAGACATCTCCAGCTCATCCCCTGTTTGGGTATCAGCCAGCACGCCAACGACTTAAATCTAGACATAGTTTTCTAAGATCTACAGAGACACTCGCTGGAACACCTCAGCAAGCGAGAGTCCAAAAGTGGCAGGCTCAAACCCAGAACCTCAACCAATGGCTGATAGCAAATGAGAGACTCCCCCCTGGGCACACAGAAGACTGGGCGACTTGGAAGGCGCTGAACAGACTGCGCTCTGGCACCACGAGATGCAGAGCCAACCTTCAGAAATGGGGCTACAAAGTGGACATGCGAGTGTGGAGAGGAGCAAACCACTGACCACCTGCTGAAATGCAACCTGAGCCCTGCCACATGCACAATGGAGGACCTTCTTGCAGCAACACCAGAAGCACTCCAAGTGGCCAGATACTGGTCAAAGGACATTTAATCAACTACCAAACTCACACATTTTGTATTTTCTCTATTTGTTTGCTTTGTTCTGTTAGAAATGTAATATAATTGACTGGCTGCCCTGACACGAGAAATAAATAAATAAATAGAAATAAATACTTAAATGCAATTGGCGCTGTCAAAATTACCATCTGTCAGCTGCAAAGGGCCACCTTACTGGGATCTGCATGCATTATTCAAAAATATATCACACAGTCCTAGACACTTGGGACCTAGGCACGTGTGATCCAATGCAACAGCAAGCAGAGTGATCATACTTTTTATCCAAAACCCTCTTTCACTTTATTACAAAGTATCTTCTTTCATAAATACACTTCTCTGTGTTATACTTGATTCTTTGTGTCCTCTTTGCCTCCTGTGTCTTTTTCTCTCCTTTTTGCCTTTTGCAGTTGGCCCCGGTAACCCTTTACTCCAAGTAATCCCGAGGCACCCGTGGGAGCCCCCAGTATCCACGAAGCACTTTGTGCATGTATAATGTAATATTTTATGTCTTATAAACTTTTGGAGTTATGAAGCAATTGAAACAAGATTGTGGTCACTTTTCACCGGCATCCCTTGACACTGGAACGTCGTCCAGTGTTTTTCTTGGTCATCACGTCGACAATGTACTCAAACACTTATCACCTCTGGAATCAATCCATCTCTATTGAATCTCATAAAGCTGGCTGTACAAGGGACAACAGGACCCTGATACTGGACAACCTGTTCTTTGTACAGCCACATGGACACAAAAGGAGCATTAATCACCTGGCACTCTTCCCTGATACTGGAAGGTCCTGCCACACTTATTCAAGATAACTCTTTCCTCTTTTCCAAGGAATTGATTCCATAATCCCATCACTTTGGATAATACTCTGGAACCAACAACAATGGACATGGGTGCCGTGGGTGCCCGACCCACCCTGTTGGGTTACTCATAATACAAAGGGCAAATCCATAATCATCAGGGATCTGATGGCCCTGTTTTGTTTGTCTCAAAAGAGAGACAATGTGATTCATCCATTAAACTATGTACTCTTTTGTCCAGCTGGTCATCCTGTCCCCCATCAGCCATTGGAGAGCAGAAATCTGCATTGGAAGCAGGGAATCCTCTCTGATTGGCTGGCGGGTGCTGCTGTCCTGGCTCGCAGAGGGAATCCTCCCAGCTGGTGTGATGTCAGAAACCGACTGCACCAATCAGAGTGAAGCCAGCCCCAGTTCACTTGTTGGCTTTTGGTATATGTGTGCTGGGTCTTGCTATCTGCAGTCTGGATCTCACTATCCACAAACTGCTCTAAATTGCTCGATTTCAGTATGAAACTTTTCATTTTCATGACTTAAAGCTATGAAATCATGGGAGTCATGGTTTGGTGAAACACCAGCACTCTTTGGTAGAGAAGTAAAGATATTTAGCAAAGATCTTATAAAACTACAGTTCCTGTGATTCCATATCATTGACTCATGGCAGTTAAAGTGCTCTCAAACTGTAGTTATTCTAGATGCACCTTTGGTCTGCAAATCCTTAGCATGAATATGGATGAATAGGGTGACTTGGAGGTCTTTCATTCATGGGGTCTCCATAAGACAAAGTCATGCCTTAAATAAGTCAAATACTTAAAGAACTAAAGACTGATTATCTAGCCATCCATAAACCCCCTTTTCTGTTAATCCGTTTCATGACCTATTAAGTCAGTGACAGGAGGATCAACTCCAAGAGCAGCTCTTTTTCTTATGGCTTTGGATATAGAAAAAAGTATGCAATTGCCCCTGCTAATTAGCATGAGTAGTAAAAACTAGCAGCTCAGATAAATAATGGTAGAGGAGGAATTCCAATTATCCATGGCTTAGTTTTCTTCCAAGGCTACTCAGTTTATGGGCTACAACTCATTAGGGAGAAAAATTATTTGGAAACAATAGGATTGACTGCCATATAAACCCACACAGGCAGTGTCCAGAGAGAGGGGCTTTCTTTTACCAAGAAGAACTGGAGCTTGTTCTGTATGTCAGGCCTCTGTGTCAAGGTCTGTTTCAGACACGCTTGTGTTCTACAACTCGTTTTTTAAAATTAGATTTCATTTTTATGCCTGAGATATTAAATAACATTAATTCTAGAGATCATCTTGTCATTGTATTCATTTCTAAAGACACACACACAAACACACATATATATCTCAGAACATTATGCAAATCTTTGTGTATAATATAGTTCAGAAAAGGGAAAATAATTCTCAGATTATCTGTATCTATCTTGGCTGGAGGAATCTGGGAGTTATGGTCCCAAAAAAAGTAATTTTCCCAAGCTTGGCTCCATAGCTATTTTATAGATAAGCAAATAAATAAATAAATATTCTCTCTTTTTCATCCGAGAATTTCACATGATTTCCTAACATTCTTGATTATATGCAAGGAGCTCTCTTAACATTCTTGTAAATACTCTTCAAAATTCATTACATTGTTGGGTTTCCATGACGCACTTTGTCATGTGCTTTTCCTCATATTATTTTGTCTCTTGGACATATACAATAGTAGTATGCAAGCCTGATCCCATGTAGATCCCTGA